ATTCCAAGTTTTGCACTTTTTTTTTTTTTTCAGATTTACCACCCCTTCTTCCTGCCTACCTCTCAAGAGTTTCTAATACTGTTAAATACTTTATTTTAGCTGGAATTAATTTTGTATGAAATTTATTTTCACTGATTTCTGATGAGTTGAATGTAAAACATAGGAATAAAGATATACTCACTGGATTTTATTTTCACTGAATCATTTCTTTAGCGAAAATAGCAAAAATTAATTCTAAGCGAAATTTAAAGTATTCTACAGTAGTAAAACCCTTATATATTGGATCTCTTAGATGAAACACTTTAATATTAGATATTTTGATAAGAAAATTGAAAGCTGCAGCTCATATCCCAGTTATAATCAATCAAAACATATAAAAGAATTATAAACAGATGTTTTGCTGGTTAAAGTTGTAAGAGCGCACAGTTTCAACAATCTGATTCAAATATAATATAATATTGGTATATATGCGCTCATTTTGTTAATTTTAATTTTTAATTTCAATATTTTATCAATTCTTAATTTGTTAAATGCTGTTTTTTTTTTCAGTTTTCTGAATACAGTTTGTATTTTGGTTAATTTAACTTTACAATTTAATTTTTTTTTATTTTTGGAGAATTGCCTAATATTTTTGCAGCAAAGATTTCACAGTTATGTTATTGTTGCAGCAAAGATTTCACAGTTATGTTATTGTAGAAATGATATTAATTCATCAAATCACATATTTGACGCTGGCAAAAAAAAAAATTCAGAAGAGAATTTTTGGTAACAATTTGTGACAGTTATTGACGATTTGTTTTGTGTTTCTTGATTACACATGTGAATATTGAGAGCAACTATGTCCCTCGATAAGGGTCTATGGAGCGGGATTTGGGGTTTAGGGGTAATTGCTAATTGCAGATGAGTTGCATCCTGGACACACAATTACATCAAACAAAGTTGGCTAAACACCATCAGATGAGCTCTCTGTAAACAGCTGGAAAAGCTGATTTGATAGTTACTTTTAATTGCCAAAAATTAGAGAGAAAACCATTAAATGAAAACCTAAATACTATAAAAACAAAAGTCCACAGTTTTAAAAAATAAAAACTAGATAAAACATAGTAAACATAGTAATGTGTTTTAATTACAAGACAAGATTTGTTTTCAAACATTGACAGTTTGTACTACTTAATTATTTACAACGTTAGTAAGTAAAGCTAAAAGTTCTAAAATCTTCAACAGTGCGGGACATGGCGCACTGACTTTTAAACAAAGGATATTTCCGTGTTTTCATATATGCAGTGTCTATGCCCGAAGATCTCTAAACATTGTGTTAATGTGTTAATCAAAGACAAGTTTATTTTAAACTGCAGAGCATCAATGTGCGTGTTGCTAGTTTTGTCGAGAGAAATACAATTTGTTGATCGCTTCACTGGTCATAGGGACAGAATGTGAATGTAAACATCCGTTATTTGTATCGAGAAATCCCCCAGAACGGCCTCCGACCGTCGAAGAATACGCTGGTTTAGAGCCAAAGGCTAAAGGCGAAATAGGGGGGCGACTAAATTAATAGGGACGCCAGACTGAAGGCGAGACCAACTGAGAGAAACGTACACCAAGACTGTGGCCTCCGCATGTACATTTGATATACACAACACTTAGGGAAGAAATACAGCCACAAAACACGTGTTTATCAGGCATCGCGTTGCACCAACTCGGTGTGTTTTTTTTCTGATAACGTGAATAGTCGGTGTGGAATAATACGACATACACTTACCTCGCTTTACTGAATCAGTGTTACGTGTTTTCAACGGGATGTCAAGCCTCGCACAAGTTATACTCCCAGTTTTGTGTTCAACTCGGAGCGGTGAACTTGTTGTACCCGACGGTCTCTTGTCGTTCGCTGGATTGCCTAGCAAATTATAAGAAGAAACAAGCGTGGAAACTGCAGACGAGCACTCTTTACGGATCACTGGGTGTCCTGGTCACGCCAAAACAGTCGATCGATACGGGATCTCTCGGGTAACGGAGAAAAGTTTAGAGAGACGAACACCAAAATATTCTAAAATCGTACGCCATTTCAGTGTGGTGCGTTGCATGACGGGATGGTAATGTCACATGCAAATGAGATGGGCGGAGCTATACGAGCGAAGGAAACAAGCTGCACTGCACTGCTTCACACCAAGTAAACTCTGACTATTTAGCCGGCGGAAAATTACAGATTAAGTGTGGCAGATGGGAACAGTGCCGAGGAGTGCTTTCAGATTGCGTTTACTCTTTTGAAACATCGGCGGAAATAACCTGACAAATGTCAAAATGTTATATTGCTCAGTTCGCAGCCATGTCTATACCCGGAAGTAACGTGGTTAAATGCGTTGGACGCGATGAAAACAAACCCATGTGAATACAAAGCTGGCTGTGATTCGTTGGTATTTTGTTACTTTTATTTTTTTACCATTAAATGTCCTGTTGGAACCCGCAAAAAGTGAATTTAAGAAATAAATAAGACCAGTTTTGAATTTGTCAAGACGCGTATTTTTATTTCAGTAAAAAAGAAGGAAGAACAAAAAACTAACAAGTGAACAGAACTTTCTCTACAACCAACTTCTAATTGCAAGGTTAAAGGTCATGTCAAAAAGCAACACCCGAAGATTTCCTGTCAAAGTTATCACATATTGATATAAATTAAATCCACATAAACCACGCGCTGGTATAAAAGTTTAAATAAACATGGGCCCCACAAAAATAAGTTAATTCTGTTGACAAATGAATCTGTTTGACAGAGACCAGACGTGTTCAGAATCTTGATAGAAAGGGTTATATTTCGCTTAGCCGAGCAAACGTACATTAGTGGGCAAGATGTTAAGTTTGACTAATGTATTTGCGTTAGGTGTTGATGGCTAATTAGTAGGGGTGAGCTAATTTGGATGATTTATATTGGGCGGGAATCACGTGATGACTTGGCTCAGCAGATATCAGCTTTGCACACCGTATCACGTGAGTTCAGAAGGCTGGGAGAATACATGTATTTCCCCCTTCTTCCCCCTTCATACAACAACTGAAAAGGTAGCTTACTGTTTGTTTTTTTGTATTTTGGTATTTGTTAGTATAATTCATTCATTTATAACTTTTTCCCTTTCTTCAATGTAATTTTCCTTATACTTTTTATTTTATCCCGTGTAGATTTTGTTTTTAAATCCCCCACCCACAGCCACAGTTACTGATGGTGAACCTCTTAGTCCAAGTACATGTAGTTAATGTTGGATTTTATGAGTGGGTCCTAGGCTATGGTAAAAGTAAAAGTGTGACAGTTTGGGTGGGCTTCGCGCATGCGTAGCGTAAATGCTTCGGGGTTACGTAGCAGCTGTTCCCAATCATCGAGTGTATACTTTGTAGAGTCTTCTATAATTAATCAATAACAAAAACTCGGCAATAATCACAATTGCTCACTTTGTTGCTGCGTTTCACCACAAAGGACATCTTTCCAATCGATTTGTTTCAGACAAGCAAAAAGCCCCTGAAATTGTCGGGTTCACGGGGTTAGCTCTGCAGCAGCCTTCTTATAAAACGGCGCTCTTTCCAGCGAATGGGGTTTAAGTGCAAAGATTCAAACAAAATCTCGTGTAAGTGGCATTTTAATGGGATGAGAGTACTGTTTAAATCCGGTCTAGTTCTACATCGATCTAGGCTAGATTGCAATTTACATCAATTAAAGTTAGGGAAAGGAGGAAGGCGAATCTCTGCTCTGGTCGGAAAACGCCGTCTTAAAAACAAAATATTCCTGTCTAATCTACGCTTGTTTTGTAAAAACGGAAACCAAAAATATGTACATTTTTCAAATTCTTTGATTGTAAACTCTATTGTTTAGGGACTCATTAACTTTTTGGAACAAAAGACGTAGTACAGTAAGAGAATCGTGTACTACTAAAAACATATACCGTTAACAATATATTGTATTCACAGAATAAAACAGAACTTCACGATTGCCTCTCTATTAAGAACAACAAAAATGACTAGGAAAAATAAAATAAAAATGCCGTATTTCCATCGTGATCGGAGAATAATTTGGAACACGCTGAGGGTTTTAAGTAGTATATGAAAATACAATATTTGGATGACATAGTTTTAGACACGACCATGATTACGGCGTATTGGCAATCTTCCCACGAGAAAGTGGTGGGTATGCCCCTGCGTTAGTGTTGGTTGGTATGTCTCCGAGTTAGCGTTGGTGGGTGCGTCTCTGAGTTAGTGTTGGTTGGTATGCTCCTGCGTTAGCGTTGGTGGGTGCGTCTCTGAGTTAGTGTTGCTTGGTATGCTCCTGCGTTAGCGTTGGTAGGTGCGTCTCTGAGTTAGTGTTGGTTGGTATGTCTCTGAGTTAGTGTTGGTTGGTATGTCTCCGAGTTAGTGTTGGTTGGTATGCCCCTGAGTTATTGTTGGTTGGTATGTCTCCGAGTTAGTGTTGGTTGGTATGCCCCTGAGTTATTGTTGGTTGGTATATCTCTGAGTTAGCGTTGGTTGGTATGTCTCTGAGTTAGCGTTGGTTGGTATGTCTCCGAGTTAGCGTTGGTTGGTATGTCTCTGAGTTAGCGTTGGTTGGTATGCTCCTGAGTTATTGTTGGTTGGTATGTCTCTGAGTTAGCGTTGGTTGGTATGTCTCTGAGTTAGCGTTGGTTGGTATGTCTCCAAGTTAGCGTTGGTTGGTATGTCTCTGAGTTAGTGTTGGTTGGTATGTCTCTGAGTTAGCGTTGGTTGGTATGTCTCCGAGTTAGCGTTGGTTGGTATGCCCCTGAGTTAGTGTTGGATGGTATGTCTCTGAGTTAGTGTTGGATGGTATGTCTCCGAGTTAGCGTTGGTTGGTATGCCCCTGAGTTAGTGTTGGATGGTATGTCTCTGAGTTAGCGTTGGTTGGTATGTCTCCGAGTTAGTGTTGGTTGGTATGTCTCCGAGTTAGCGTTGGTTGGTATGTCTCCGAGTTAGTGTTGGTTGGTATGTCTCCGAGTTAGTGTTGGTTGGTATGGCTCTGAGTTAGTGTTGGTTGGTATGCCTCTGAGTTAGTGTTGGATGGTATGTCTCCGAGTTAGCGTTGGTTGGTATGTCTCTAAGTTAGTATTGGTTGGTATGGCTCTGAGTTAGCGTTGGTGGGTATGTCTCTAAGTTAGTATTGGTTGGTATGTCTCCGAGTTAGCGTTGGTTGGTATGTCTCTGAGTTAGCGTTGGTGGGTATGTCTCTAAGTTAGTATTGGTTGGTATGTCTCCGAGTTAGTGTTGGTTGGTATGTCTCCAAGTTAGTGTTGGTTGGTATGGCTCTGAGTTAGTGTTGGTTGGTATGTCTCCGAGTTAGTGTTGGTTGGTATGTCTCCGAGTTAGTGTTGGTTGGTATGGCTCTGAGTTAGCGTTGGTGGGTATGTCTCTGAGTTAGCGTTGGTGGGTATGTCTCTAAGTTAGTATTGGTTGGTATGGCTCTGAGTTAGTGTTGGATGGTATGTCCATGGGTTCGAATTGGTGGGATGTCTCTGAATTTGTGTTGGTCGATATGTCACTGAGTTAGTGTTGGTTGGTGTGTCCCTGAGTTAGCGTTGGTGGTGTGTCTCTGAGTTAGTGTTGGTTGGTATGCTCCTGCGTTAGCGTTGGTGGTGTGTCTCTGAGTTAGCGTTGGTGGGTATGTCCCTGGGTTAGCATTGGTGGGTATTTCTTTGAATTTGATTTGGTGGATATGCCTCTAGTGTGGGTGGGTATGTCCCCAAGTTTGTGTTGGTGGGAAAGTCCACGAGTTAGTTTCGGTGGGTATGTCCCCAAGTTAGTGCCGGTGGGCATGCATTATAGGCGATTTTGGTGGGTATGTCCCCAAGTTAGTTGTATAACTTAGTGTGGATATGTCCTGAAATATTGTCGATGGTTATTCCTCCAAGACAGTGTTGGTGGGTATGTTCCCAAGTTAGTATTGGCGACATGTCCCTGTGTCAGCGCCAGTGGCTACGTCCCAGAGTTAGTCTGAGTGGGTATGTCCCAAACCTAGCGTCGGTGGGTATGCTTCCGAGTTTGTGTTGAGTTAGTATTGGTGGGTATGTCTCTTAGTTAGTGTTAGCTGCTATGTACCCG